CACTAGAGTGCATACAAGACCTAAACAAAACTTTCCAAACAAGAAAAGCCGAGGGAACTGATGATGCAACGCGCAACAGAAAACACAATGACAGGAGCGGCGCGCGGCGCGGCGAGCGAGGCTCGGGACGAGCACAAAGCGCTCCCACCACGCGCGAATCGCTTGGGCGCGAATCTAAACTGTTGGTGCAAGCGTGCGTGGAAGCACTACTACATTGTCCATCCGGAGAGTCAACCGTGGCATAACGTCGAGATTTGCGCGTCAGTGAATTCTGTATTAAACTTAAATAACTCTCATCGTAGATACAGTCTGTTCAGTAGGTACAGTCAGTTTCAAAGATGCAGTTCACGCAAGACGATCCTTTTAGCCCTGAAAAATTATGTTGGCACATTATTCGCTTATATCTCTGCAACCGTATAAGATATTGTCGATGTTCCACAATAAATGCTTTCTCGGTATTCTGTCCTGCTCGAGTTGATTATTCATAACGATACGAATAATGAACGCAATGTGAAAGCGCGCAAATCTTGCGTCTTGTCAGCCCGAACTCGTTAGCGGCATTAAATTTTTGGCTTATATTTCGGCAACCACTTGAGATATCGATGTCCCACCAACAGTGTTATCTTACCTGCGTCCTGTTCTATGAGGATTAGTGCTTTCTAATGATACGAATAATAAGCATTCGATAATCATTGCAGAAGATTGCGTAAGCGCGCCACGAGACAAGCTCTTACACGCGCACTTATCCGTTTCAATTAACGAACTCTTATTATTCGTACCATTATAAACTGTTAATCCCAGTAGAACAGAATATGAACAATGTAATACTTCGCTAATGACGTCGGTATCTCTACCCGTTGCCGAGATATAAGCGAAAAATGCACACGCCGTGATCAATTTCGGTCGACATGTCGCAGTGTGCTTGACATCTTGCTTACCGCATACCGTTCATTAATCTCATTATATAATTTTCATTCCTGCAGAGCAGATGACGCACTTTTACAAATATTGTTGATATGTTAGTCATTTACAGAAAATAAGCGTAAATGTGACTGAAAAATTTTGGCATCAAAAGGAGCAGCATGTTGACCGTCCGTGTCTTTCACACCTCCCGTTCCATCTCGCATAAGTATGTATTTCTCATGTAAAAGGATAGTGATTTGTATTAAACCAGAGTTTTACCGCCGCTTTTTATGGTCTTTTATCGCTGGTCATTGGTTACCTCTAACAGATTAATGTCTGATATTTAGTAATTTTTCCTTAAGTTTTTGTTAATTACATCGACTTAAGCTTTTCTACATATAATATCGTCGTGATGTAGCTCTGATTTATTATCTTAGTTTATTTTTCAATTGCTTCTTAATATATGTTGTCATCTATAGCTAGTCGTTGACTTTCACAGCAACCCAAATCTTAAAATCTTTAAGAATTTTCATTCCTGAACTGATACTCTACAGCGGCTTGAGCTCTTCTAAACATAATATGTAGCTCTGATTTATTATTTTAGCCTATCTCTCAAAAGCTTCTTAACATATGCAGTCAGCTATACCTTGTCTTTGACTTTCATGGCAATTGTAACCTTAAAATCTTTAAGAATTTTTATTCCCGAACTAAGACTGTCCAACGACTTGGGCTCTTCTACACATAATATCGTCGTGATACAGCACTGATTTATTATTTTACTCTATCTCTCAAATGCTTCTTAATATATGCAGTTATCAATACCTTGTCTTTGACTTTCATTGCAATGGACCCAGATAGTCAAACCTGAGCGAACAAATTTCGCATGAGAGTTGACATCAAGTGTTGATGGCAAATAGGTAACAAATTTGCAACAAACTTTATGTTATCAAATTCTACTGGCAAATTGCAACCAAATGTGCAACAAGGCTTGGTGCGGAGCATCTTGCAGTAAATTTGCGGTAAAAACCGCGCAAGTTTTGCAGCGCATAACTTAGCACCAAATAGGCACCAAACACTGAGCAACACTTGCGCACAAGACACGAGAGAAATTGGCAGCAAATCCGCAGCAAGCCTTGCACTCAATCAGCTGATCGAGATGGTTGCGACGTGTGTTGGATTTTAAATGGTTCCTAACCTGTATATTGATAAATTTTAATTGCAATTTTGCATTTAAAAAGAGAAAGGTGTATATAGAAATAAATATTTGACAAAACAGACTGTATAATTTATTATACAAACATATATACATATAAGATCACGATATTCGTAATTATCGCTATTTACATGTAAACGAAAGGCAAGAAATGAAATATATGCGGTGGGATATTAACTTGTGCATTCGTTGTAACTGATGATTAATCTCGTCCATCTCTTTCTGAAGACTGCAAAGTGGAAGTGGTATTTTAAAAGGATATCTCACGTATCATTTCCACACTTGGGTGAAAAGGTAAATATCTATAATTATGTTTTATATTGTAGATACTGTCAAAGCATTTCTTGAGAAGAACAAAGTAGGAAAATATAATGAAGAAGATATGAGAAAAGAGTAGAAACGAAAAAAAAAAGAAAAAGAAGAGAAAAAACGTGAGGAGGTAGAAGAACGTTTAGTCAGTCTATGTAAAATTGGAAATCGCTGTGAGGTATCTATTCCAAATCAACGAAAGCGAAGACCTACAGTTTTATATGTTGGTCAGCAGAAAATTATTATTTATAAAATAATCTTATACCAATAAAATTCATCTTTGTTTGAATCATATATCCTGATTCTATATAAATATTTTATAACTATAGGTAAAATTGAATTTAACCCTTAGCGCTCCGTTGGCTCCGCTGTGGAGACATCCATCATTTATTTCGTAACTCCGGTGGCTCCGCTGTGGAGTCATTCTAGTATTAACATCAATACCTCTAGTTGCTTTTGAAAATTACAAGCACTTGTAATTTTTTACGTTCAAAGTAAAATTTCTCTTTCCCAGACGCTCCACTGCAAAAGTGCTGCCGGAGTTGCCAGAGTAGGCAGTGATAAGAAAACGCGCGGAGTGCAAAGGGTTAAAGATGACTGGTGGACTGGTGTTAAATACAATGAAACTCTTGGCAAAAATGATGGAAGGTACAAGTATATATTTAATACCTCCTTATATTATACTAATACATATCTCTTTCTTACTTAATTTAATTTGTGCTTATTATATGTTTTCATTAGGCCGGGTCTACAATAGGTGTAATAAGCTTTTAGCTATTTGGTCTAAGCTTTACTAATCACTTCCCATTTCATTTCCTTTATGTTGTGATTTTTATAATATTTATTATCTTCTGCATACAAACAGGGATTTGCTTGTATAATTGTTATTAAAACTTCGTCGTCATCCAAGTAGAACAAAAAATCATGATGACATCAAAATGACAAGAAAATGACCGAATCATGATGAGAAAAGAGTTTTTCTCATCATTTTGATATCATTTTGATGTCATCGTTATTTTCTGTTCTACCTGAGCAGTGTCAGCAACATATTCTTCGTTGTCGGACATTTTGCCAAACCAGATCGAAACGTGCGTGAAAACGTGTACATGTGCCTAAATAATTTTTCTTATTGGCTTATCTTATTTATCACTGAGAGAAATCGGCCTTAAGCTTTAATTCCTAACTTCAAAAGTTTAGATCTACCCAACTTTACTGCCAGCGCTGAAAATTTATAGTTTACGTGACACAAACTATATATTTTCAGTATTGGCAGTGAATATCAGAACATAGCCTATATTGTTGCCTATGTTATTGCATTTTGAATAAGGTAAGTTTTGGAAACATCCCACGTTAGTTATACACATTGTTCGAGCGTATACTCTTAAATAATTTTGTTACAGAAGTTGGTTAATATGGCCAATATAGTAAATATTATTGGTGCTGATATGCTTACTGAAGCAGAAAGACATGTACAAAGAAATGGGAGACATTTCCGAACCCGAGAAGTTCCATTTGAACTTCCAGAAAACCAATTCATAAAATTATTTCGATTAACTAGAAGACAGGTTGACAATATTATTGATATCGTAGAGCAATACCATCATCCAAAAAGATCTTCAGCATTAGATGCATCTGTGGAAGTAAGTTACTTGCTTCCATATCTATCAATATCCCAGTAAGCAAAATGCTAACAGAATGCGCGCAGATTGACGCCAATTTCGATCAGATCTCCACATCAAAACCATAGTCATCTGTGTCCTCATTAGGCTCGTGTTTTGTCGACAGGACCTGTGTAACAGGCCGTGCGAGCAGATTGTCGGCAGAAACCGCGCAGGTCCTGCTGCCAAACTACACGTAGAGTCTGCGCGTAGAGTTTGCTCGGTTTCTGCCGCCAATCTGCCGTCAAATTATTGCAAGTCTTGCGCGGTTTTTGCTACAAATCTGCCGTCAAATATCTGACAACAGGATCTGGCGCATATTTGACTGCAGATTGGCGGCATAATTTGATATAACAGATTCTGCGTTAAATTTGTTGTCTATTTGCCATCAAACTATGATAGCAGGCTTTGTTCGAAATCTGCTCGCGCAGGTTTGGCTATCTGGGATTATATCTGCCTTTTGTATCCATCTCTATTAATCGTCATGTAGAGAAAAATTCCCGCTCTTGTTATTGCTTTTTCTCTATTGGTTAAGAGTTTCCTGACAGTAGCGACAACACGGCTCTCGAATCGCATGCGACAATTGTCACAGGTGACAATTGTCGCATGCGACATATCTCGTACGCTTTCAAGTGGTCTGTTCTTTTTAGCTGCACTACTGAACTGGTGCAATAAGTTAAAGTGAGAAAAAATATAGTTGTCTCATTCTAACTTAATGCACTAGTTCTGCAGTGACCGCAGTGCAGCTGAAAAGAACAGACCAAATAATTGAGCCCCAGAGTTTTGTTGTCCACATAACATACAGAGAGGAGTGATACGTAGGAGTAAATAATTTACACATAAATGGATTCCGAGAATTACACGGTGGAACTGATATGTCAGGATATTGTGAAGGATCATCTTCAAATGAACGCTTTAATACAAGTAAATATATGTATATATATGTGTGATTCTATCTCATAAACTATGAGATACACAGTCTGTCCCAGATCCAATGAGACTGGTCTAAAACAAATATAAAGCGTTTATTATTTTGATTTTTTATTCTTGTTTATTCAAAATAATCTCCTTCTGAGTCAATACAGCGCTGGAAACGTTCAACAAATTTTTCGAAACATTTTTTATACTCATCGGCTGGAATGGCCTTTAGTATGGCGGTCGAAGTCTTTTGGATGACCGGGATGGTATCGAAACGATTTCCTTTCATCGCCAATTTCAGTTTGGGAAATAGCCAAAAGTCGCACGGAGCCAAATCAGGTGAATACGGTGGATGATCGATAACAATGATGCCTTTTTTGGTCAAGAATTCACGTACCATGATGGCTTTGTGCGATGGTGCATTATCGTACAACAAAAACCAACTGTCTGGCTCTCGATATTCCGGTCGAACTTGTCGAATTCTGACCCACAATCGTTGTAGAACTCCAAGATAATATTCTGCGTTCACCGTCTGACCTTCTGGAACGAATTCACTGTGAACAATTCCCTTTGAATCGAAGAAAACGGTCAGCATTGTCTTGATTTTGCTCTTCTGAAAGCGTAATTTTTTCTCTTTTGGCTCTTTTGGTGACTTCCATGCCGTACTCTGACGTTTTGTTTTTGGCTCGTATTGAAAACACCACGTTTCATCACCAGTTACAATGGCTGACATGCTTGCCGGATTCCTTCGGGACATTTTTAACATGTCTTTGCAATGCTGAACTCTCCAATCTTTTTGGTCGTCTGTCAGAGTGTGTGGCACGAAAGCGCGCACAGACCTTCCGTTTGTCCAAATCTTCGGTCAAAATTCGATAGACTGTGCTTTTCGGTATCCCAGTTTCCTCTTCGATGAGTCTCGCAGACACACAGCGGTCGCTTCGAAGAATTTCTTTGACTTTCTCGATGTTTTCTTCATTGCGAGTGGTTTTTGGCGGCGATGCTCGGTCAGCGTCTGCAAGGTCCTCACGACCGTCACGGAATCGGCCAAACCAACGGAAAACCTGTGCACGGGACATGCATTCATCCCCGTACACATTTTTTAGCGTTTCGTACGTTTCTGCATCACTTTTACCCAATTTAAAACAGAATTTAATATTCGCTCTTTGTTCCATGTTGATTTTTCGACCGACACAAAGTGACTTTATATAAAATGTTAAACCACAGTGAAATATCAACCGAATTCGCTCAAATTTTGAGGTTAAGTAGATGAAGGGTAGAACATTCACCTACCATCATTCACTCATAGATGTCGCTGCGCTAAGAACTTTGATGGAACCAGTCTCATCTGGGACAGACTGTGTATAACCTCAGTCTCAACTTTAGATTAACATCAATTCTGGAAAAAGAAGAAGGAAAGAAGAAGAGAAAATTAACATCATGTTTTACAATAATAAATAGTAGGATCATGTTTACAATAATAAATAATATGTTAGGAATTATATTATAATGATAAGCCAAATAACAAATCACCATGTATTTTCTGTGAAGGACATATAACAATGCACTGGGTTGTACAAAGCGTTAGACGAACTCAATGCCGAAGGTAGGACCAAAATTGCAGTGTTAGAATCTTCCATAGAGCGATTAGCGTCTGTCGTTGAAACCGAACCAAATGAGAAGAAGAAGACAGTTGTTTTCCATTGTTGAGAGCTATAAGGAGCAATTAAATGTGTTCTTGGCGGTCTTTCGCAAGGCTAATGTCGTTAGCACTTGTGTAATAGATAAATTAGTTTGGGAGAATCTGCTCTCTCTGCCAGAGGAGCGGCAAAATGCTCTTCGTAAACGACGAGACAAACAAAGTTTGACAGATTCTTCTAGCCAAATCACAGACAAATTATTCAGCATCGTAAGGCATCTAGCTGAGACAACTCAGAGAAGTGCTGATACATTGGACATATTGTGTACGTACTATATTTTTGAATCATTTCATAAAAATGTGGAATTTATTAGATATCTATCATGCAGAATGAAGCAGTAGCTATTATCTTATCTTGAATATCTTGAATATATGAGATATGAGAATAGAAAAATATTTAACAGAAAATACATGATACTGAAACAATTGTCTTATAATAGTAAAGTTTTATTTTCTAAGTAAACTAAGCTTTAAAAATCTAAATCCTTTATCGTTTTTTCCTAAATTATTTTTTAAATAAAATGTTTTAATGTAATAAAATTTATTAAAATGTTTTTTGTATCATAACTGATTTTGAGTCGTTCTTTTTTATAGGTTGTTGTATTTCTTCTAATAACTGTTATCGAAAAATAAATTCAGAAACAGCATTCCATTAAAAAAAACAAAGATGACCTTCAAATCTTAGGAATCACCTGAAAAAAAGCGTTACCACCGCAAGGATTACTTCTGCACCATGTAATTTCTCTTTGTTAGATAAATTATTATTTATTATTATCGCCTCACCATATATTGTCTGTTTAAGAATAATTATTACGATTCTACCGATTTTGCTGTTTTGTTTCAGTAACATCCTCTGACAAAGTTGATAACGCGAGAAACGAGCTGGAGCATCAACAGCAAGTGATAGTGCAATCGGGAAAGCTCTTAGGAAAATATGGTAAATGCGAAGTCACCGATAAAGTATTACTTACACTAGCCTTCGCGTTCTTCCTCGTCTGCGTGTTTTACATTTCACAAAAGAGACTGTTCTGAAAGCCCTTTGTATGTGATATTAATGAAATGGACTGATCATTTACGATGATATCGCGACTGTAACATATTGCGCAGGAATTCTCACGATAAATGACATAAAGAATGTATGTACTATTTAAGAGGAGAAATCGGGTGACACGGGCTTTACAAGTATTTTAATGACTTTACGCGTGTGTGGATAAATTGCTCGTTAATCTCTGAAGGACGTTTTCATTCGGTCACCAAATCTTATTAAATAAACTCAACTGGTTGTATATAATGATATCCTGTAAGAAGATAAAATATTTATTAAATTTCAAAATGTATACACGTTTCTACTATTCATTATCACTAAAATAATGATGTCGTATCGCGAGACGCTATGGAAACTAATTGCTCGTACATTTTTACAATCGCTTATGAATTCCTCCCTGGTGACTATTCCGTCTCTGTCTACGTCCATCTTCTTGAAGAACTTGTCCACTTGGATGTTAACTGCGGGCTGGATGGTCTGCGCGTCCTGCACCATCTCATAAATCGCGAATATTATGACCAACATTTCTCGCTTCGTGATACAACCTTCTCCATAAAAATCGTAGAATCTGATGAAAAGTAGGTCCAGAGAGTATTTCGCATGTTATAATCTTCGAGGTTATTGACTTCAATAAGTATTAGTGATCAAATATTTAATAAATATCCAATAATCAAGTAAAATTTCTATTGCGACTAATATTAACATTTTTAAATGTCACTTTTTAACTTTGAGTATTATTCCGAGGAAAAATGATTATATATGTAAATTTTCTCTGCACAGCCATCATTAAACAGCAAGAAAAAAGTACAAAGTGGTCAGTTTGTGCCCGAAGAAGTTACAGAAAATCAAATCGAACTTCTTAACTGACACGAAATAAAAATCTTTCAGGTTGCACTCGAAAATAAACCTGGAATCAGACAGTCCGTTACTAATAGCGATTACTGCTCACCCAAATATCCAAGAGAGCTGATCGACCATGCCGTTCACGATCGATGCTGTGGCATCCAGAAGATCGCTGAAGCTGACGAAACCGTCGCCGTCCTTATCGAAACTGTAGAAGACGATTTGCGTGCATCTGGTTGGGTCGGCCAATGGGAACAGTTTTTGGCGTATGCGGGTTTCAAATCGCCAGGCGTCACACTGTTTGCGCAGTATCTCCGCCGGCGGACCGAATCGTCGTCAGTCGCGAAAAGACGGGACTCTTAGCTGAAAATATTTGAGCGAACGTTAATTCAGAACGCGATGTCGTGAAC